AATACCCCTAGCGAGAAAAAATCGAACTAATTACTTGCCTCATAAAATTTTTTATCGGCCTAGGCCATAACAAGGTATTTCTTTATCGAATGTTGACAACAATAAAGTTTAAATTATAGACCGCGTGGAGATAAAACAATTTCCTTTTATTAGAATGGAATGGGCAAAAAATTCACTTATTTTTTTATATTTATTGAAACAAAATTAAAGTTCATTCTGTAAAATGCAGAGAAAATACGGTTTCAAAACCTTGTAAATCTGTGTATTATACATAAACTTGTATTTGGAGTGAGCGTGGGACTTACTTCCTTTATATTATTAATGCAAAAAGAAAAAAAGTGAGAAAAATTTTGACCTTTAGGAATACAATTTAATTTATTCAAAACCACCTTATGTTTACAGAATAACGTTTTATTTGATATCGCAGATAAATTAAGTTATGTCATATCATGAAAATTATCGTATTGTATTTTTAAATAAGAAGATTCCCCGTTTAATACAGCAGCAACTAGATTGATAGGTATATCAAAAAGAAAATATATCATGATGTTTTAAATTTTAGACTGCAATTACTATGCAAGCCGTTAAACCACAATTTAATTAAATTTAATCATAAAATTTAAGTGTGGGACATCATTTTAAGCCATTATTAAAACCTTCATTAAAGATTTGATTAAATTTTCACACGAAATCCGGAACGGCCCTTTAAAATTTTACTGAGTTTATTAAATTGCATTCGCCATTTCCCATTTTCATTATTAAATTTCCATTTAATATTAATATACAGTATGTCCACAAATTAGGTTAGTTTTTTATTTAAAATCTTAAAATTATAATTTTAAATTTTTTGCCCCCGCCATTTCCCCCCACCACACTATGCGCATTTATCAAAGAATGCCCAGCCAGATCACCAGATCTAACACCTCTAGATTTCTTCTATGGGGAATCTAACAACGTGTTCAACGTTTTTCCCAAAAATCTTTTCTCATCATATAACGAATTTTAATCCATAAGTTAGAAACAAACTGTATATGGGTGATTCTACAAAAGTTGGACAACTTGATGCGATCAGTCAATAGAGTACTGTCCGTTCAGGCTAAGTTGAGCGGTCTTAGGAATGTCACCCCGTCCATCATCTCTATGTATAGTCACAATTAAATACATGTATTTCGGTAGCCGCTCTGTACCAACAAACCGCAAGCCCCGGCACTGATAAATCATCTTCTTGTTACCGAAATCTTGCGAGGATTAGATATTTAATTTAATCAACGGTCACAAGATCCCCCACCAAAGCGCTCAACTTAGCCTGAACGGACTGTAGGTATTTTAATATTTTTTGTAAATATTTTAGTATATTACAAAAGATCCAGGTTTTTTTAACTTGTCCACCCAATTTTAATGTATTTTTTCAAAAGCACGTTTGTAGAAAAACAATAAATATTCAAAACATCAGTACCTTGGCGTGTCACAACTCTGTGGGTAAAAGGCATAAGGGGATAAGTCAAAAAAAGCAATTTTTCAATAGAGCCTTTAACGTGTTCGCATTAATTCAGGAAATATATTTATGTTTAGCGGGTATACGGTTTTATTAGCATATGACATGTGCTAACAAAAGGGTATACCCGCTAACCATAAATATGTTTCCTGAATTAATACGAATACGTTTAAGGCTCTACTGAAAAATTGCTTTTTTGACTTATCCCCTTATGCCTTTTACCCACAGAACTGCTGAATCAAATATTTGAGTGATTTTATTTTAAAATATATTCAATTTATCTCAAATTTTTCAATTTCACTACAAACTATAAAACATTAAATAATGTATTCTTCATATTTTATCATAGATTCGTATAATAGCAATTTTTTTAAAATTGATAATCTTTGTACTCACTTTGTCACCCGTCAGTTCTGTGTCCAATGTTAAAATTTATAATTCCTGCGAAATATTGTTTAAACGTCAAGTCCTCGTTTTAACTCAAGTGTTGGTAAAAAAATACCTACAGAGCCCGCCCTTTGCACGACAGTCATCTTGAAAACAATGCAAGCGGCGAAGTTGTGGTGAATGCACGTATAATTCCAGTCAAAATTTCAGTACTGTGGTGAGTAGTTATTTTCTTACGTATATATATTTCATTGTAATTTATATAAGGCTATATGTGATTTGTTGATAAGTAGCATCCACTAATAAAAAATATCAGTAAAATACTTAATTTGTATCCCATTCATCAGTACCGTGTCGTCAGTTCCATGTTCGATGTTTCGGTTATCTTTTTTTCGCAAACTTCAATTTAAATTCTGCTTGCGCATAACTTGTTTATTTAATGTCATTATAAAATCATATAAATTTGGTGTGGGTCCCATATATAATAATTGAGATATCGGTATACCCAAAATCCACCAGCCGCCACTGATGTGTGGTATTATTTAATATTAAGATATTTAATGTATAATACGCTCAAAGTTGCAATAAATCTTATATTTTCCAATAAATTATGTATTTAATTAGTACCCTGGTATACTCGTCACTTCCCTTGCATTCAAATTTAGAAAACAGATATTTCAGAAACTGTTTGAAAAAGTGAGTGGCCCGGTCTGGAACAGTATATTTATTATATTATCTATGTTCTCATAACAAAATACTGTTTAATTTTCTCCGAAAACTATATAAACAAAATGAGGTCAAAAGTTGCCCAACTTTTGTAGAATCACCCATATGTATATACAGGGTGAGTCTTTGAATATGAAACTTTGAAATATCTCGTAAATAGGCATTTTACGAAAAAATTAAATGATTCGAGGGGGGAAATAAATTAATACCAAAATTATTTCCCGTACTCTCATCTTTATAGGGGTCATTCCATAGTTTCGGGTGTTACATTTGTTCAACCAAAGTTTAAATTTTTATGTATTTTGAAATAATATTTTAACAATTAAAGTACACAAAACACACACATATATAGACATATAAAAAAAGTTGTAACACCCGAAATGTTTTAATCAAGAAAAAAACATATAAAATTAGCCTTATGCTCAGATATAAGTTAGTGTTTTAAATCATTAGCACCATAACCTTACTTTTACTAAATATTAATACACTAATCAATCTGTAACGCGTTCTAGTTTTTTTTCATCGGATTTAATGCGAAAAGAACATATTTATTTTTTCACCCTCAGTATCGTTTGTCATGGAATGACCCTGTATATAACTATATATATATCATGTATTTCGTGTTGTGAAATAAAATTGATCATCATGCTAACAAGAAAATTTCCTTTGTCCGTGACTATTTATAGTCGACGTATCCAGGGAATATGGAACAATTTTCATTAGGTAAATACTAATTAAGAAGTTGCTTTATTTCTCTGTTTCTTCGCCGACTTGTATTTGTTTTGCGCCACTTGTTTCGTATCTATTGTTTCTCGAGTTTTAGGTAATGGCCAAATAGGCGAGCGAGCTGCGAATAACAATGCCCGAGGCATTAGGGTAGCAAGAAAATAGAAAAACAAGTTTTCCGGTTTATTTTAGAAAGTATTGTTGGTATTTGTATAAAGAGAAACATAGGTGAAGTTCGTGGTAATGTTCTCTTTATTTATTATGTTGAAAAAATGGTGAATGCACCGGAAATAATCGACATAAAAATCGATTGAAACTTTTTTACCTAATTTCAAGTGGTTTTTTTCAAGGGATTCGTTGAAAAACCTTTAAAAAATTAAATTATTTAAACAATGTTGCAAATATAATAACAAAAAAATTAGAGGCTATTTTTGGTTTACGTGCATTTACCTAAATTTTAACGAAAAAAATTAATATCTTAAAAACCATTGACTTTAGGTATAGTCTAAATCAAATTGTATATGCTATTAAAATTTCAAATCCATATCGTTTGCGTTTCTCCAGAAACACCCTGTATAGCTTTATATTAAATATAAAAAATGCAAAATAACTCATTACAAAAAATCGAAAAACAACTGAATAAGAAATACAGATATATCTAAATAGCCGATTGTATACATATATCATAAAAAATAAAGTCTTTATTCTAATTTATTTATTGGGTAAATGTTACTTTCCTCAGTTTGGAATTAAAATTGAAGCTTGCTTATCGAGTAAAAATAAATTGAAGCTTGGTTGTGAAGCAAAAAATAAAATTAAAGTAGGTTATAATTTCTAACTTGCTGACACTGTCTATAATTATTATTTAGTTTATTCATTTTAATAAATTAATGTTTCGAGTTTGAGATCTGTCAAATTATCTTTCATGCTTCCAATGGTAGGTTATCATAGAGAAAAGTCTATGATGCCTACTATGACCAAAATTAGTTAACTTGAAAATTTATAAATAAAACTAATTTTATCTCCATCTATGGCAATTTTTTTAAATAAATATGTAAGAATTATGTTTAATATGTAATATATAATACATTATCTTATAAAACTAGATAAAAGAATATATAATCTATAAAACTCGTTAGTATTATGCTCTTTGAAGGCCTAACTTAAAAATGGTGTCTCTCGTAGAAACATAATTTGAATGTAGAAGTTTATATATCAAATAATAGTTAATTATCAGTACTTTACTAAAAATTATAAAACAACGTTGCTTCTTCGACTTTTTAACCCTTAAAAGATGGTAAAATGTTAAATTAAATTGTCCCCAGCGCCCCCTGTATGTTAAAATCTAAAAAAAATATTACGTGGATTTATTGCCACTAATAAGGTCTACATTTTATCTTAATTTCAAATTGATACGTTTTTAAATAAAAATTTTATTACAAAATATCGAAATTTATCTATTTTTAACACAGAAGAGTGACTTAAGGCCTGAAAACCACATAACTCAATGGATGAAAATTTTTTTTTTTTTTAATGTACCATTTAGATGTAGAAACAATGTTAAAAAAATATGTTCAATTCTGGCATCACTTGCAAACAAATGTCCAACATTTGTTTGATTTTTACGCGAAACCATAGGTAGTTAAATAATAAAAAAAAATCCTACCTGTTTTTCTCCTGGAGCCCCACAGGACCGGGGGGGAGGCACTACCAATGGGGAGCGCCAGTTTGCTTATACTTTCCGGCTCTGAAAAAACAATTGAATAACGATTAAAAAAATGCAAGTACTTTTACTGTCATGGCAAGTGTCATTTTACTGACTTTTAAAATAATAAAAATTGTTGGTGTTTGTTTATCGGTTTTTTCAGCGCACTAAACCCATAATTGTCACTTAATTTGCGACGGTGGCTTTGAAAAATTATCGCCGAGATAAATCAGCCGGCTTTGACTCTCACATTTTAATTGCAAACTGAGCAGTTAATCACAAAGGTTTTTAATTAAAATTAATTAGCTATTAATCTCGACAGTAAACTTAGAACTGACACAGGCCATATCTTTCATCCAGCGCTATTACTTCACGTCACGACAGACAACCAAAACAAAGTTTACATCACGATCCAGAAATTTACGAGGTTAGGCAACCCACTGCACATACTCTAACAGCGGCCATTTTTATGCTTCGAGAAAAAAGTTCTTAGTTTCTCTTGAAAACAAATACAAAATCTCTTGAATGTCTCTTCTTTCAACATTATTTATATTCACGCAATTCATTCAAGATACGATTTGTGTTCAGAAAATATCGGGAATTTTCGTTTTTTGAAACAAATATTTATTTATTCGTCTACATTAATATTGTCGCCTTCAAAATAGTTCCCATTGGATATTATGCACATGTGCCAGCTCTTCTTTCAATACTCGAAACACTTCTAAAACTCGATCTTTGGGATAGCCTTTAGTTCTTTCAGCGATGCGCTTTTAATGTCATCTATGCTTGCAAAACGACGGCCCTTTAAGGTTCTCTTTATTTTTGAGAATAGGAAAAAGTCAGACAGAGGCATGTCTGGCGAATATGGAGGCTGGGGCATCATTACAGTATTGTTTTTGGCCAAAAATTTTCTTCAAAATTTAACAATTTTAGAAGAAATTTTGCTGCCACGCGTTTCATACCCAAAACATTCGAAAAAATTTCATGGGATGAGCCAATCCATATACCAACATCATCAGCGACTTCTCTGATGGTTTATAACCATTTCTTCCACTTTTTCCATGTTTTTATCGGTTGTTTATGTGCTTGTGCGTTCGGAGCATTCGTCATCTTCAACGTCTTCACGGCCATCTTGGAAACTCTTATATCACTTGTAAACTCTTGTTTTACTTATAGCAGACTCACTATAGGCCTTTGTTAACATTTCACAGAATTTATTTCATTTTTTAACCAAATTGGATACAAATTCTTTGATCCATTTCTTTTAACGAACGAAAAATCGCCGAGCTCATAAAACACGTCTAACCTTAGCGGCTGCCACAGACAAAGTAAACAATGAAAACAGCTTATGTTTTTGTCATACTTCGGGGGTATGTATACCAACATAATAAATAAAATTTTATGACAACCGGACCCTCCGAACCCGCGAAATTTAACAATTCCCGTTATTTTCTGAACACACCTCGTATATATTAATTGTTTTAAACAATCGTGGAGCTGTTTTGTAACTTTTATTAAATGAATGGATTTGTAAAAGAGTAAACACGGCAATAAAACGCAAATTTATTCATAAACCAACACACACACTTACATTGTTATAAACATTATTCAATGAACAATGGCAATTTTACATAAGGATGCAATATTGTGTAAGCAATAAACAAAAATTGAACCGTGTTCGATGTAAACGAAATTTGACGAATAAAAATAAATGTTTTCAGGAGAATAAATGGATTTCTATGTCCAGGAATATTTTTCATATATTCATGGTAACATGATAAATTCGTGTTTTATGAGAGGCACTCGAGTTTTTTCCAAGGAAAGTTTGTTATGTTCTTTTTAGTTTTTTTATCTATTTTGCGTTCATAATGACTTCTACTAAAGCTACGTTTACACTTTGTAATTTAAAAATTATCGACTTACATTTAAATGTAAAGTTATAAATTTTGTCTTAAAACATGTATCAATTTAAAATTGTTAAAAATAAAAGTTATTGGTTTAAATTTGTAAAGAGTCATTTAAATGATAGTCTATAAATTTTTAATGCAAAAATTACCACTTTAAAATTTAAAACTAACATTTAAATGTAATGTTCAAATTTTTGTATTGAAAATTTATCGACTATCATTTAAATGACTCTTTACATATTCAAACAAATAATTTTGAAGAATAAAATATTAAAATTCCATTTTTTTAAAATTAATATTTTTAAACTTAAACTTTTACAGTTGCATTTTATATTTAAAATATTTTTTGATTATCAATAGTTTTGAGTTTACAAAAATTTAACTTTTTAAACTATTTTGGAAGAAAATGTTTTATATGTGTTTTTATTTTAAATGGCTTGATACTATTTTTAAATACTATTATTATTATCAATAGTTTTGAGTTTACAAAAATTTAACTTTTTAAACTATTTTGGTAGAAAATGTTTTATATGTGTTTTTATTTTAAATGGCTTGATACTATTTTTAAATACTAAAAAATTTAACTTTACCAAATTAATCTCAATAATTTTATAAAATATTTATTTAAGTTAACAAAATGCCACCCAAATAAATTATACTTGAGAAATTATTTTTATTAAAAAATGATAGTTTTTGCAAAAATTGATAAAAAATAATAGTAAATTTTGTCTTTCAATACATGATAGTTGAAAATATTATAAATTTATAAATGTAAGACTAAAATTTTTAGTTAGGAAAATTTTAAACCAATAAAATTTTAAATTAAAAAATTATTTAATAAATGTTAAAACGGCGTGCCATAAAAATGTCATTTTAAGGCACTGTTTTTGTCTATAACAAAGGTATCATTTATTTTATCCTAAAATCCAGGTAAATATAACATCAAAATCCATTGTTATCTTTCGTTTCATATGATTTATGTCGGTTTTTCCTAAAAAATTTCCACTTTGGAATTGTGCGCCTAAACCAATTTAATAGGGGTTACTGAACTTCGAATAATAGAAACCGGTAACATAAAAGATCGTCCTGATGGCCTCATAAATAAAAAATAGCGACGAATCAATAAAATATCACCTTTTGCGATTTTTCTTGTTAGTGTCAATAAAAAGTTTCCCAAAAGAATACAGTCATCTAAATCACACTCAACTGTGAAAATTGTACATTCGTCAACTGATTGCACAATAAAAGAGTGATAGAGGTCGGCGATTCGATTATGTTTAGTTTGACACCCTTTGCATAGGAAAAACAAATAAAAAAAATTAAAAATACCATTACAATTAAAAAATTATCTCTCCTGAAAAAAGACTTGAACTACTGTGTCGAAAAGTCCGATATTTTCACCATAAAAAGTAATCTTCTATTTGAGAAACTATTGCCAACTCGAACAATTCCGTTCTTTTATGACCACATTTATTTCACATGTATACATTTTAAGATTTACGATCCAATAAAACAGAATTACAAAATTTTATTTATAGGACATTTACTCATATTTTTATTTGTTCTTAGTTTCTGCAATTAAATTTTACAAGTTTGGATTCGAGCGAATGTAACAATTTTAAAATTATACTTTTTATTGGCAGCTAAATATATTTTTCCATGAATTAACTTAACCGAAATAAAGAAACAAAAAATACAAATTTGCAGGTCAAGAAACAAAGGAAAATACTGAAGTTGGCAGTAATTTTGACAATATGTCTTATTATTTCTCAAACATCATTTGCAAAACTTTTTTTTCAAAAAATTGTACCCTATGAGATCGCAAATCTACGACGAGGAATTTTTGGAAGGTGACGATGACAAGTGCATAACGCATCTAGAAAAATTTAGTCCTGTGGCTTTTGGATCGTCCAAGTCGCGAACCTTTGCAGAAATAAACACTAAAATCAAAGATAAACCAAGTGACCAACCGGACTTTTATAATTTGGATAAATATAATTTCATCAACGAGCTATCGAATAAAATTATCAGCAAACGTGGTCTTGGATACCTTGCGAGTACTACCGTAAGGAAAGGTTACGAAAACAGAAATCCATCTCCAACGAGGTATCAAAAGGTAACCAAACGAGAAAGTAAACAACAATTTGCCCCCTTCAACATTAAAAGCGAAATAGTTCGTGGTAAACCAAGGGAGGGACCAGGACCTGGTAGCTACGACTGCAATCTCGAAACGTGCAGAAGAATTAAATACAGTAACAATTTCGGTAACCCAAAATTGCTGCCCTGTGTGGAAACGTACTGTCTTCACGACCATACAGTTGACATTTGCTCGAAATGCAAAGACATTTGTACAAACGATTATTGGCATCAAAATTTCGAAACGTTCCTGTGCCATTTGTGCTGGACTGAAGAAAAATTAACTCACGAGATATACCATATAGATAAGCTAAAGGAGTTCAAAAAAATGAGGACTTGCGGCTACATTCACACGCACGAAAAAGGTTCCCTGTCGAGGAGGATTCTACTGCAAAAGGACGTCGTAAAAAGGACGCAATTGGAGAACTATTTGGATCTACATATTTCTTGCTATGATTAATCTACTATTTTTGTATTATTATTTTAAGGTAATAAATATAATTTATATTAAGTTAGCAATAATTTTGACATTTATGTACTAATAATTTTGACATTTATGTACTATTGTTAATAATTATACAAACATCATTTACAAAAAAAATGACCCTTATGAGATCGAAAATCTACGACGAAGAATTTTTGGAAGGAGACGATGACAAGTGCATAACGCGTCTAGAAAAATTCAGTCCTTTGGCTTTTGGATCCACCAGGTCGCGAACCTTCGCAGAAATAAACACCAAAATCAAAGATAAACCAAGTGACCAACCAGACTTTTATAATTTGGATAAATATAATTTCATCAATCAGCTGTCGAATAAGGTTGTCAGCAAACGTGGTCTTGGATACTTTGCTAGTACTACCGTAAGGAAAGGTTATGAAAACAGAAATCCATCTCCAACGAGGTATCAAAAGGTAACCAAACGAGAAAGTAAACAACAATTTGCCCCCTTCAACATTAAAAGCAAAATAGTTCGTGGTAAACCAAGGGAAGGACCAGGACCTGGTAGCTACGACTGCAATCTCGAAACGTGCAGAAGAATTAAATACAGTAACAATTTCGGTAACCCAAAATTGCTGCCTTGTGTGGAAACGTACTGTCTTTACGACCATATAGTTGACATTTGCTCGAAATGCAAAGACATTTGTACAAACGATTATTGGCATCAAAATTTCGAAACGTTCCTGTGCCATTTGTGCTGGACTGAAGAAAAATTAACTCACGAGATATACCATATAGATAAGCTAAAGGAGTTCAAAAAAATGAGGACTTGCGGCTACATTCACACGCACGAAAAAGGTTCCCTGTCGAGGAGGATTCTACTGCAAAAGGAAGTCGTGAAAAGGACGCAATTGGAGAACTATTTGGATCTACATATTTCTTGCTATGATTAAACTACTATTTCTGTATTATTATTTTAAGGTAATAAATATATTTGTAATTATAAAGCCATAAATCCTCATTAAAACTTTTAAAAGGGGTAAAAATTATTTGTTTTACAACAATGGAAATCTACATAACACTTGAGTACATTATTGGATTAAAATTAATTGGGTCAGCAAAAAAAATAATTGGATCATTCATTAGCATAATTTACTTTGTTGTAAAGTGATCCTCAACGTTGAAAAACCTTCCGAGAATTTTTAATTGTAAGAACCGAAAAACCTTCTTAGAAACGGATTTAAATAAAAAGATATTAATTATAGGAATGTTAAGAAACATTCTGCTTAGGTAGGTTTCAAGAAAGCCCCATGAAAAGTCATCCACATTAATCCGAAGAATAAATAAACTCTTCTCAGAATTTGTATTATTCCAAATGCCTATTTATTATGGTTTTAGTGTTTAAAAGCTCTATTCCAAATATTGACAGCTGTGACCTTGAAACTTACCTAAACAAACACTGTATTTGTGAAATCGTAATAATAATAATTTTGCCATTGGAAATTCATGTAAATATAGTTTATTTATTTATAAATATATATAGATATATATATTCATGTTATTGAGTTTATGTTTTAAATAAATAAAAATAAATAACTTACTCAAAATAAAATTGGCAGACACCAAGGAGCATAATTTGATTCCCACTGAATAAGGCACAGTTTTCACTATAAGTCAATACTATTTTTGTTAAAATAAATAAAATTTAAATAGGTAGGTATACATTAACAAAAAAATAACAAATAAATTAATAATCAACAAGTAAAACGTGTGAAAATCGTAGGTATGACTAGTCCAATAATTTCAGTACAATTGTTAATAAAATGAAAATAACCTTAACCGATTCGTACGAATAATATTTTATCACAACTTGGTTATATTAACACACTTTAAATAAATGTAACTAAAAATATATCATGTTGATCACGGACACTACAAACTAAAAAAAAAATCGCGAATATACGAATCGGAAAACAAATTATCGTTAATTATTGTCCCATATTTCTTTGGAACTTTTATTGCAAATTAATTTGATAGGAATAAGGTTAGAACACATACTGCCACTGAACGCGCATGTGCGGCGTTCGTAAATATTTATTTAAATTGCAAAATTCACAGTTTAAAATCATCACAATGGGAAAAATACCGAAAAAATCGCCACCAAAGCGAATTTTATCACCAGGTGAAGTTCATTATGTACCACACGTAGCCAACACGTGAGCTGCCACGGTTTCGCACGGAATGGAAATTTTTCACATTTGCATGCAAAATTTACTACGAGCGCTGAAAAAAGTTTTAAACATCGTTCAACGCCCGTTTCATTCATAATTCATTCCGTAATTTTATTAATAATTAATTTCGACGGGTTCGACACAACCAGCGCCACCTATCGGCCAATAGGGGAAGCTTGCGCAGCAACCTTGATTATTTCGGCAGGTCAATAACACAGGTTCTGAACAGGGGCGGACTAATTTTTTACCTTATTATTAGTAGAGTATATTGCAGTACACGCAATTAATTGTATTGTAAATATACATTGAGGAAATAGTTTTTGTTGTTTATGTTCGTGTATCTGACAAGATAAACACGGCAATCGATTGGCATTGAAGAAGCAAATTATTTTTAGACGCTTTTAGTGTTATTATCTTTATTACTATTGTCGTGTCGCTCCATTTTAGAAGACAATGGACACTCGATTGTTTTGTTTTTAGAGTGCCTCTGTTGCGAGCTTTTGAAAGAAAGAAAATGGAAAATATGAAATCAGGGAAATACATTCTTTTGAAATAGTACCTATTTGGTTGTAAACAATAAATACACAAAAATAATTAAAATTTACCAACAGTAAAAATTAATCCCTGCGCATTCACCATTATTGAAACTTTTTTGCAATTTTCAAAATGATGTTTTAACACACCAACGTTTCAAAATTAATTAAATTTACATTATTTTGTAATAAGTGGGGAATTCAATTAGGGTAAAATAAACGTTATAATACTTAAATTTAACTTCTTGGTTAACGTTCCTTTTGGTTAAATTACACCAAATAAAAATTTTGATCATGTGCTCAAAACGCTCATTTTTGTCCAAAACAAACTTTGCATTGATTTATGAAAAACTATGGGTTATGATCATTTATCATAAAAATATGGGTTTTGATGATTAAAAAAATATAATAAAATTATAAATAAATTGCATGGATTTTAATTAAAGTTATGAATTATAATCAAACTTTTCATGGATTTTCAGCATATGCTCAAAACGCTTATTTTTGCCAAAAACAAACATTGAATTGATTTTTGGGAAATTATGGATTATAATCATTTATCCTAAAAGTTAAGCAAACTTGGCATTGATTTTTTTAACTATATATGGATTATGATCGTTTATCGAAAAAAATATGGATTTTCGTCTTTATGGAACTTTGTAAATTACACCAAGTAAAAAATTATGGATTTTAATCATATGCTCAAAACGCTTATTTTGCCCCAAACAGAATTTTTTTAAACTATGGATTATGATCGTTTAACGTAAAATTATGGATTTTGATCACAGGCTAAAACCGCTTATTTTTGTCCAAAACAAACTTGGCAATGATTTTTTGTCCAAAACAACCCTAGCAATTATGGATCATGATCGTTTAACGTAAAATTATGGATTTTGATCACATGCTCAAAACGCTTATTTTTGTCCAAAACAAACTTGTCAATGATTTTTTTTAAACTATGGATTATGATCGCATAACGTAAAATTATGGATTTTGATCATGTGCTCAAAACGCTCATTTTTGTCCAAAGCAAACTTTGCATTGATTTTTGAAAAACTATGGGTTATGATCATTAAAAAAATGATAATGCTAAAGTACCTATATCAATAAATTTAACTAGTTAGTAATATGTTTCTTTTATTAGTTAAATTGTACTAAAAAATAAGTTCATAGTAACCTTAAAAAAAATGTTAATGGTTGAATACAACTAATTTGTTAAAAAAACAAGTTTAAAAATACGTTAAATTACTTAGATTTTGGCTAATTTACTTAGAACGGGTTCTCTCTTTAAAATAACTTAGACTCTTTTATTTTTTACATCCACCATATAAATGAGTTTGAAAACAAAAATTCCAGACGAGAATTCCTAATGTTATATTAATATTCTGCTCATATATCCTAATATTAAATAAAAATACTTTATTTGCATGTCTTTTGTGAAACGTATTCCCTAACCAGTTCACGTAGCACTCAATCCAGTGAACGAATTTCTTTGTAAATCCTTAGGATAAAATTATCCTTATATTTACCTACGTCAAATTTTTGTTATTTAATAATACATACCTACTTGATTTTTATTTTATCTGTTTTTTGCCTCCGTAGAATTCTTTCTTAAACTTTTCTTTTAATTAAAAGTTTAATGCCTAATTTGCTGAAATTTTTTGTTCGTTTATACAATTTTAACGAGCAACATTCAATAACTTTGAAACTTTTTAAAATCAATAAAACGTTACTTTACCAAAACGTCGTTTTGGAGCGAATGCGCTATTTTTATTTATGTTAAAATTTGGAACGAAATTTGCATAGATTGAATGGAATTTTTTGCTTTCAGCAGATTTTGCTTTATTTAGTTATCAGTTAAACTGAGGCAGAGTACATTTCAAATACTTTAATTAGATTACAAGGTGTTCTAAAAATTAAATAAAACTGAAATCGATCTCCCAATATAATATAATTGGGGATAAAAAAAAATTGGCAACATGTAATTTTAATAGGCTCTCGCAGTAAAATCGATACATTGTGCAAATATATGCGTTGGAGATGCGTACATTTTCAACCGTCGGTAACTTTCCTGACAAATTAAATAATAATCCCCAAACAAATTTCGTTTTATGTCTCGAGTCGTAACGATGCTATAGGCTAAGTCGTCGAGTTTGTTAATAAAATGTTTATTTTAATACAAAATAGGTATTTTCGAAAAAATTTTTTTTCTCCCTACCATTACGGGCTGAAGTTAGCAACAGGTTTTTAGTCACGGGCTGAAGTTAGCTTTAAGTTAGTTGACAGTTGTCAAATGTCATACAATCGTTAAACTAAAGTGCCTTTTATAGTGAGTTTTTTTTCATTTTTAATTTTTACGTCTTTATTGAACTTGTGTGACGCAGTTAAAATTATGGATTTTGATCATATGCCCAAAAACTTATATTTTCCAAAACAAACTTGGCATTGATTTTTTTACTATAGATTATGATCGTTTAACGTAAAATTATGTGCTTAAAACGCTTATTTTTGTACAAAACACTCTTGAAATTGATTTTTTTAAAACTACGTTTTGAGCATATGATCAAAATCCATAATTTTAACTTGGTGTAATTTAGGCGTCACAAAGTTCAATAAAGACTTTAAAAGTAGAAATTTAAAAAAAAACTCACCCAAAGGGTGTTTTTTGATAATTTATGGATTTTGATCATTTTTAATATCTCCCCTTTGGGTGAGTTTTTTTTTAATTTCTACTTTTTACGTCTTTATTAAACCTTGTGACGCCTAAATTACACTAAGTTAAAATTATGGATTTGGAAATATGCTAACACTTATTTTTGTCCAAAACAAACTTGGCATTGATTTTTTTTCAAGTATGAATTATGATCGTTTAACGTAAAATTATGGATTTTGATCATGTGCTTAAAACGCTTTTTTTGTACAAAACAAACTTGGGAATGGTTTATTTAAAACTATGGATTATGATCGTTTAACGTAAAATTATGGATTTTGATCATGTGCTCAAAACGCTTATTTTTGTCTAGAACAAACTTGGCATTATTTTTTTTTAAACTATGGATTATGATCGTTTATTGTAAAATTATGGATTTTGATCATATGCTCAAAACGATTATTTTTTTCCAAAACAAACTTTGCATTGGTTTTTAAAAAAACTATGGATTATGACATTTTTCACAAAAAATGGTTTGATCCTTAAAAAAAATAATGCGTAAGTCAATAAATAAACAAATAAATTGTACTAAATAAAATTTAATTTAAATTATGAATTATAATCAAAATTTTCATGGATTTTTATCGATTTAATCAAACGCCTTTTTGCCTAAAACAAACATTAAACTGATATTTGGGAAATTATGGATTATGAACATTTATTCTATTTTCAAGGGATAAATTTTGATTTACAAAAAAAAAATTGAGATTTTAACGCCTAAAACAGTTTTAAGAATTTTTTAATTTTTTAGCTTGCTTTTAAATATTTACATATGTATATATCATTACTACACAGAAAAAGCGCTTACTCCTTAAATATTAAAGTTGCCCCAATGTACTGATCTTTTTAGTACAGAAAATATAGTATAAAAACATATTTAAACCGTTTTTTTCTTTAAAGATTTACGATTGTAATTAACAGCGTCAGAATCGATGGATTTGGATTTATGTTCATCGAGATAAATGGGACTGGCGTGAAATAACAAGAATTGATGGTGTCCTTAAAGAAAAACATAAATAAAATGTTCAGACGATGGTGACGTGCACTATGGGGCCGATATACATATGTGCGTGGGTGTGTCCCGAAGACAATCCAAAATAAAAAAGACAAATTGAAAGTACAAAAGGGGGGTGTGAGTGTAAAAGATCTAGGTATCCTAACCACTAGACTATACGGGATATACTTTAATTGAGAAAATTCAAAAAGGATAGTGAAAAACTATGTTATAATAATACAAATATTTTTTATGTTTATCCAGACAATACGATATTTTTGTTCATTTTCCAAATTAAATTCCTCGTTATACTGTAGACAGCCTGTTACGTCGCCAAGCCTTCATCACTCGTTATTTTTTAATTACTCAAGTTTTAAAAGTCTGTTTTCGTTTGTTATAGATTCAAGAGCCACGAGACAAAACAGGTTTGCTCTCCGTTTTGTGGGGTTCCCTGTTTCGGAGTAAGAAAAAAAATAAAAAGTTAATTGTAAGACGAACGACCGTGGAAGAGTTTCGTAAAATATTAAAACCACCTCAGAGAAATAAATTGTTAAAGCTTGGAAAGCTTTTAGATAACTTTTTATCATTTTAATTTATTATACCCACTTTGTCTTTTTTACTTGCATACACCAAGTTGAAATTATGGATTATGATCGTTTATCGTAAAAATTATGGATTTTGATCACATGCTAAAAACGCTTATTTTTGTCCAAAACAAACTTGGCATTGTTTTTTTTTGTAAAACTATGGATAATGATCGTTTAACGTAAAATTATGGATTTTGATCACATGCTCAAAACGCTTATTTTTGTCCAAAACAAACCTGGCATTGAATTTTTTTAAACTATAGATAATGATCGTTTAACGTAAAATTATGGATTTTAATCATGTGTTGTTCAAAACAAACTTGGCATTGATTTTTCTTAAACTATGGATTATGATCGTTCAACGTAAAATTGTGGATTTTGATCACATCCTCAAAACGCTTATTTTTGTCCAAAACAAACTTGGCATTGATTTTTTTTAAACTATGGATAATGATCGTTTATTGTAAAATTATGGATTTTGATCATGTGCTCTAAGCACTTATTTTTGTCCAAAACAAACTTGGCATTGATTTTTTTAAAACTATGGATAATGATAGTTTATTGTAAAATTATGGATTTTGATCATGTGCTCTAAGAACTTATTTTTGTCCAAAACAAACTTGGCATTGATTTTTTAAAACTATGGATTATGATCGTTCAACGTAAAATTATGGATTTTGATCATGTGCTTAAAACGCCCATTTTTGAACAAAACACACTTGGCATTGATTTTTCAAAAACTATGGATTATAATCGTTTAACCTGAAATTATGGATTTTGATCATGTGCTCAAAAAGCTTATTTTTGTCCAAAACAAACTTGGCAATGATTTTTTTTTAAAAGCTATGGATTATAATCGTTTAACGTAAAATTATACTCAAAACACAAAAACAAAATTCACCTTTGGGTGAGTTTTTCTTAAAAAATTCTACTTTTATTTTTATCATATGCTGAAAACGCTTATTTTTGCCTAAAACAAACATTGAATTGATTTTTGAGAAATTATGGATTATAATCATTTATCCTAACTAACTATGGATTATGATAGTTTATCGCAAAAAATATGGGTTTTCGTCTTAATGGAACTTTGTGACAATTATGGATTTTAATCATATGCTCAGAACGCTTATTTTGTCCAAAACGAAATTATCAATTTTTTTTAAACTATGGATTTTGATCGTTTATCGTAAAATTATGGATTTTGATCACATGCTCAAACCGCTTATTTTTGCCCAAAACAAATTTGGCAATAATTTTGTATAACGTAAAATTATGGATTTTGATCATGTGCTTAAAGATACTGCCATAAAATGTCAAATAAAATTTAATTTAAATTATGAATAATAATCAAAATTTTTATGGATTTTCAATTGCATATTTTGCCCAAAATAAACATTGAACTGATTTTTGGGAAATTATGGATTGTGAACATTTATCTTATATCAATAAAAAGTTTATTGTAAGACGAAAAACTGTAATAGTGTTTCGTAAGATATTTAAAACACTTTAGAGAAATAAATTGTCAAAGATTTAACAGCTTTTAGGTAACTTTTTATCATTTTAATTCATTATACCCACTTTGTTACTTTGTCTACTTTAACTCCAAACTTGTTTCTTTCCAATAAACTTCTACTGACCTAAAATCAAGGGAGGCGGGATCTTGTTGTCCTGACTATGCCACTGGATCATCTCGCGTATTTTTTTCACTGTACCGACACTGAGAAAGTACCACTGTGACTGTCGCAACACCTACATACAAATAATGATAAGTAAGAAGGGTATTCGAAATCGAAATCAAACCCACATCTGGTTCACAACACATTTACGAAAATATTTATTTCAAACATTACACCACATCCGAAAAAGCAAACCGCAAATATCGTACGCTAAACCGTCGTGTCGCGCGTTCGAAAGATAACTAAAAAAATATTTCGTATTTGTTCAAACTTGGAAACGCTAAAAATAGTCGTACCATTTAAGGTTTTCGTGAAAGATTTGTGTCACATTGCTGCATAATCTCAGCACAAATATATTTGACAAACTTATGTAGACTTTGTATAATGTTAAGCTTATCGTCGAGATAAATTAATTAGTTACAGGTCAATGATAACTTTAATAACTTTTGGAACATTCATTAAAATTCTATTAAATACCAAACAATATTTCCATATGTAAATTATTATCCATTAATGATAATAATGGCAAGTTTCACAATATTTATTTAAACATTTCGGGAGTATATCAAATTTTATGAAAAAATTACATTTTATAATAATAATAATAAAAATTTTATAGAAGAATATAAGAATTGCATCAAAATTCTCAACATATACAAATTAAAATACTTTTGTCGTTTACATGCATTAATTTTTTGTCATCACCTTCAAACGTCAACCATTTAATTTATCGATGCTGATCGAAAATTAATAATTCCGCAATGACCTTAATATTAAACGCCGTTTTTGGTAAATTCTGCCATTAGATACGACTTTATAAATCTTGGAATTTATGGTTGTGTGTCTATTTACTTAATTTATTCAAAAAAAACGCGCAAAAACCAAATCGAGTTTTAAAATGACTAGTACATTAATTTGCGGCTGTCATAAGTGAATGAATTGTTAAAAATTTAAACAAGTTATATAAATATTTTTAATCACTAAAACAAACTTTATTATTTTTTTATGATTTTATTTATCAACGTCAAAATATTAAAAAACAATATTTGTACGACTGGCGGCCTCTGGTAGAGAATAATAAACAAATTGTTTCTTCATCATAAAATTTTTGGAAAATTATGATCGTTTATCGTAAAATTATGGATTTTGATCATTTTCTCAAAAGGCTTGTTTTTGTCCAAAACATACTTTGCATTGATTTTTTAAAAATTATGGATGATGATCGTTTAACGTAAAATTATGGATTTTGATCATGTGCTTAAAACGCAGGTTGTTATGTTTTTTTCTGGCAGCCTCTGGTAGAGAATAATAAACAAATTGTTTCTTCATCATAAATTTTTTGGAAAATTATGGATTTTGATCGTTTTTCGTAAAATTATGGATTTTGATCATTTTCTCAAAAGGCTTGTTTTTGTCCAAAACATACTTTGCATTGATTTTTTAAAAATTATGGATGATGATCGTTTAACGTAAAATTATGGATTTTGATCATGTGCTTAAAACGCAGGTTGTTATGTTTTTTTCTGGCAGCCTCTGGTAGAGAATAATAAACAAATTGTTTCTTCATCATAAATTTTTGGAAAATTATGGATTTTGATCGTTTATCGTAAAATTATGGATTTTGATCATGTGCTTAAAACGCAGGTTGTTATGTTTTTTCTGGCGGCCTCTGGTAGAGAATAATAAACAAATTGTTTCTTCATCATAAATTTTTTTGAAAATTATTGATTTTGATCGTTTATCGTAAAATTATGGATTTTGATCATTTTCTCAAAAGGCTTGTTTTTGCCCAAAACATACTTTGCATTGATTTTTTAAAAATTATGGATGATGATCGTTTAACGTAAAATTATGGATTTTGATCATGTGCTTAAAACGCTTATTTTTGTACAAAACAAACTTTGCAATGATTTTTAAAAAACTATGGATTATGATCGTTTATTGTAAAATTATGGATTTTGATCATATGCCCAAAACGCTTATTTATGCACAAAACAAAATTCGCAGTGATTTTCGATAATTTATGGATTTTGATCATTTTTGGGTGAGTTTTCCTAAAAATTTAAACTTTTAACGTCTTTATGGAACTCCAGCATCGCTTAAATTACACCAAGTAAAAATTATGGATTTTGATCGTATGCTCAAAACACTTATTTCTGTCCAAAGTAAACTGCATTGGTTTTAAAAAACTATGGATTATGATCGTTAATCGTAAAAATTATGGATTTTAATCATATGCTCAAAACGCTTATTTTTGCCCAAAACTAACATTTAACAAATTTTTGGGAAGTTATGGATTATGATCATGTATACTAAAAGGTATGGATTTTGATCATAATATGCCCAAAACAAACTTTTTAAAAATTTATGGATTTTTATCGTTTTTCTTCAAAACTATCTCCAATAATAGTATTAAAAAAGATAATGCGTATATCATTATAAGCAATATAAACAAATTTTGCAAGTGTTTTAATTTGATATCTCCGCTTTCTGTAAGTTTTTCGTAAAAATGTCTACTTTCAACGTCTTTGTGGAACTTGGTGACAAATCCAGCATCGCCTAGTTGAATTAATTTTTTGGAAAACTGTTGGTATAAAGGAAAACCTCTTCTCATAAAAAAGGTTAGCGAAGTTAAAGCAATTTTTGCTTGTATGTAATGAATTCGTGGGATTTCGTTTTCGTCTGTGTAGTTGTTGATAATGTAGTGTTGATTGATTGTTGTGACTGCGAAAGCAATTTTTCGATCTGCCACCATATGCAAGCATTCCTTCATCCTGTAACATTCCTTTAGTTTGGAACGAAGGATGGAGTTGTCAAAAAAGTGTGGTATTGTCACATGTGCATCCAAATTGCTTTTCAGGATGTCCTCCTCTGAATCTATGGTTTGTTTATACTCTACGTTAGATAGATTGCTTGTTAATGCTGTTAGAAACAAAACGTTTGCGAATATATTCAGCCATATTACAGTGGATATGATTAGTCTTACGTTTCTATGTTTAGGTATGTTGTATGTGACGCCAATCATTACAGTGTACAACATGAAAACTATGTTTGTTGATGTCATTTTATGACCACCGAAAATTCGTATACTCAAAGCAATGAAGAGCATGAAAAACATTAGTAGAAATAAAGCGTATTTGTCTGCCAATTTATTGAAATCATCCAAAGTGTTTTCCTTCAAATTATGTGGGACGAACCAGTATAAAGAGCCAAATAAAACTGGATAGGTATAGTAAAAAAACAATAGTCTTGCAGGTGTCAAAATACAATTACCTAGAAATATATCATATTCGTTTTGGTGAACTTTAAAAAAAACTCCATCTATACTTCCATTCTCCCAAACGCCTCCAAATTTAAAATTGGCCCCCGATACCACCAAAGTGACGTTTAAATCGAACAATTCGCTTAATAATGCCAATACATCATATTCCACGCCATTTCTTGCGAAGTAGTCATATTTTATTAAGCTATTGTTAGTAATTTTGAGAAAATTTGGTTCATATGGCATTACAAGTGCCTTATAAGTTTTGTTTGGTGGGTTTTCTACAACTATCACACTTTTATTACATTTATCAATGATGTTAAAGTCATTCCAAACACAGTTGGTCCCCTTTACAACCATAACTTCATCCCGTGTTACAATAATAGCACTTATATCTTCAAATTGTATTATGGACTTCAACGTCTTAAAAAAATCTTGTTTGTCTTGATAATTCATCATGGATATAAGCAGTTTTACTTCATTGTTCCAAAAACTATCACCATCCTTAATTTTGGTGATCACGTACCTTATATCTTCTACATTTCTTATATTAACAACATAATTCATATAGGAATTGGTGGACTTTTTGAAGCTTTTGTTAAATGAAGTTAAGTTTGTTACGTACAAGGGCCACTGTGACACGTCATCAATAAAACAGGGCAGTATGTTGTCCTCAATATATCCGCCATCGTCCAATATCACCGATATTGGTTTCACAAAATTTCTCTCAACAAAATAGGTTTTGAAAATATCTGCAATACATACTATGCTGCAATTTGTAGCCACCATTAAAATCAATGATGTTTGTAGCATGGTTTTGTACATAATAAATTTGTTTGTAATTCCCTCGATCTGTAACTTTGATTTTTAATGGTAATAAAATTAAAGGCTAATATTGACATAAAGACAAATGATAAAGTTACAAGCATAATGAAGGTTTTTATGGGTAAAATAAATACAATGAATATTTAATAAATAATATACAAGCAGTTTTAGTTGTCTTTTGAATTTTAATATGATTGAAATTAAAAGATATATCAGAATTTTTTTGATATAATATACGAGGTATGTTTAGAAAATATCGGGAATTTTCGGTTTTTGAAACAAATATTTATTTATTCGTCTACATTAATGTTGTCGCCTTCAAAATAGTCCCCATTGGATATTATGCACATGTGCCAGCTCTTCTTCCAATACTCGAAACACTTCTAAAACTCGATCTTTGGGATAGCCTTTAGTTCTTTCAGCGATGCGCTTTTAATTTCATCTATGCTTGCAAAACGACGGCCCTTTAAGGTTCTCTTTACTTTTGGGAATAGGAAAAAGTCAGACAGAGGCATGTCTGGCGAATATGGCGGCTGGGGCATCAATACAGTATTGTTTTTGGCCAAAAATGTTGTTCAAAATTTAACAATTTTGGAACAAATTTTGCTGCCACGCGTTTCATACCCAAAACATTCGAAAAAATGTCATGGGATGAGCCAATCGATATACCAACATCATCAGCGACTTCTCTGATGGTTTATAACCATTTCTTCCACTTTTTCCATGTTTTTATAGGTTGTTAATGTGCTTGTGCGTTCGGGGCGTTCGTTATCTTCAACGTCTTCACGGCCATCTTGGAAACTCTTATACCACTTGTAAACTCTTGTTTTACTTATAGCAGACTCACTATAGGCCTTTGTTAACATTTCACAGAATTTATTTCATTTTTTAAGCAAAATTGTATACAAATTCTTTGATCCATTTCTTTTAACGAACGAAAATCGCCGAGCTCATAAAAACACGTCTAACCTTAGCGGCTGCCACAGACAAAGTAAACAATTAAAACAGCTAAAGTTTTTATCATACTTCGGGGGAATATATACCAACATAATAAAGAAAATTTTATGACAACCGGACCCTCCGAACCCGCGAAATTTAACAATTCCCGTTATTTTCTGAACACACCTCGTATTTTGTTTTTTGCATTTATAATTTTAGTAAGGATAAAATTTAAGGCAACCCTCGTAAGCTTCTATCAAGAAGTCATTTTGGCCTGAAAGGATCTTCTTGCATTCACTAGTGACATTTTAACAATACCGGTTGTGAAATGCATGGAATACATGATGATGTTTGTTATTAAAACGAAGAAAGAAAGTTTTTTAATTTTTGTTGCAAAAATGCATGCGGGCGATGATTGAATTTTTTTTTAGTAGGTACAATGTTAGGTATAAAAAATATTCTAGTGTATTGGAAAAATAAAAAAAGTTGTAGGTATATTTCATAGTAAAACCCCAACAATAATTACAAATGTATAATACTGTGAACTAAAATAATTGCGACTATTTGAAATATTTATACAGCTTTTTAATTTCCACAAGATAAAAATGGCATTAGGTATAAACAAAATAAAATTTACAACATTCTACAAGCCTTCAATTAATTTAATTAAAACAATAATTACCGACTTCGTAGCATTCTGTTCCATTTCTTAAATGAGAAAATTTCCTTGATTAAATTGGTTGGCAGAAGCAAAAAGATTTAAATATTTACAAGAAATAAATTTTGTTTGAACTGACTGGTTTTCAGGCATTTAATAAAAATCGCAGACGCGGCCGTAAAATTGTCGTAATTTTAATTTACGGGGGCTGTAACTGTTATGGGTAATACACGATGGGCCCAAAAGTGAACCTTGCTATTTTAAAAGTTACGATATCTTCCAAAATATTTAAAGTCATTTTTTTTATCTGGACTGCGGCATCGTTGCAAATTTAGGGTTTTGGTTGGTAAATACAGTTGTCAAGTTGGTCGCATTGATTAAAACAAACTAAGATAGTTATAAATCTAATTGTGGTTATGTATAAACTATCGTAGGTTACATTGTGCAGTTGTCGAAATTCGTAGTTAAAAATGCAATTAATTTGGCTTTGGTGGTGCTTGGATAAGTAAAATCATATACAAAAGTAGTTAAATATAGGTTGCTTTACGGCCCAGAAGAGAAAGTATTCCTAGCGGATAATAATCTTCGCTTTGAAAAGAATTTATATAAAAGAAATTAAAAATTTTTGTGAACGTAAATGTTGTTCAATGGTGAATAATGTGTGATGTAATATTTATAAAACCAAATTCGTTACTTTTTTACTCCAAAAATGTCCATAAGGCGATGTACTTTTTCTTCCATTGTGGAATTTGGCATAATTTCATCAAAATGAAGTTTTGCCCTCAAAAAGGCTTTTACATTCGAATTCGTTGCTATTATTTTTGGCATAATTATCTTTATTTATAATTGACAAGTAAATTATCAATAATAAATATTATTGTCAATTTGACAGTGTCAAAGTATTTAATTAAATTCTTTAGCAGAAGTACCATTTTTAAATACTAAAAATACTAAGTCAAACTGACATAAGCCACCAACCTAACAAAAAAACACGAATCCAGATAAAAAAAAATGAACTGTATCTAACACTTTTTTTATTGTATGGCTAGTATGAAAGATATTATACAAAAGATATGATACAAAATATTTAAAAAAATTAAATATAAAGTGGTCCCACAGTGCATTGCATATAAGTTAAAAATTAAGATGCTTTGATGTAATCTCGAAGACATTTTATATGCAAAAAACTGTTGATTTGGGTCAGTGCGAGAAATTGACACAGAGATTAATTTTATTAATTGATTTTATTTATAAATGTGATTTTTAAAGACAAGACTACTTTTACTACATAATAAACAGTACCAGCAAAGAGGGTAAACTATTTACCTATAGGTAAAAAAGGTGCCCTTAAACTAAAGTAGTCAACTCCCTTGATAAAAAATTATTAGCGGCAAGGAACAATATAAATAAATAGTTATTTATGTCATTAGGTTAAGAAGTAAGGCTTTTTGTGTTAAGCTCATGGTTTGAATGACAATTGAGCAAAGCACAAAAAGGCACTTCTTGGCCGAATGGCATACAACATTTTATCTTCAAAGCACTTTATATAGGTCAATTTAATTCAACATCAAAGCGGCCTAACCTCACTTTTTTAGAATCTCATTTATTTATTAGCTAAAGATTACATTAAATGTACAATAATTATTATTGCTTTTAGAAGCAGTAATAGTTTGACAATACCTAGCAACATGAATTAAGTAGAAATGGATTTTTGCTATTACATTGAATTCAATTAATTGTTTAATAAATAGGTAGGTATCTAATTTCAATTTGTTTGGATTTTTATTTAAAAAATAGGTAGTTTGGAATGTTTAAGCTGTGTTTAACATTTAATTTCACTGAAAACTTAAAGCAAATTAAAACTTAAAGATAATTTAAATCGTAGAAAAAGAATCGTGCGTTTTCTTGGTTGCCTAACCTCATTTTTTGTTTTATTATTCATATTTAATTTTCCAATAATTTAATGAAAAATATTAAACATTAACAAACAAACAAATTAGTGCTTATTATAAATAAATTAAACCAGTTTAGTACGTTAATTTCTTAGAAAAGGATTAATTTGTCAAAACAATACCCCTAGCGAGAAAAAATCGAACTAATTACTTGCCTCATAAAAATTTTTATCGGCCTAGGCCATAACAAGGTATATCTTTATCGAATGTTGACAACAATAAAGTTTGTCTTAGAAATTAAATTGTTCAAACATACTGTATACACTGTATTTTGTATACATACCAGAACTAAACATTTTGAACGATCTCATGTTGCTACACAATTAATAAATGTAAACAGAGTTCTTCTAACGTGTGTTAGGTTGGGTAGCGACAGCCCAATCAGCTGTTATTATTATATTTTTTCCGCACCGACATCAACAAACAAGCGACGCACTGTAGCGAGTAAAACGGTTTTGAGGAAACGTATTTGCGAGGCCTACTGCGAATAGTCGCGAGGTGGTTTTGCGCGAATCGCGCTTGTGTCGGGTACAGACACACGCGTGCCTTGTGGAGACAAGAAACGAACTGCGGCAACGGGTGATTTTTAATCTGTTTTATTGGCACACGCACGCTGGATATTTTTGGTCCATGGCACGCCGTTTAACATTTATTAAATATTTTTTAATTTAAAATTTTTCCAACTCAAAATTTTAGGGTTTTTTAATAAATGCCGTTTAGTTTTAAAATACTATTTTAACCATTTTGCGTTCATAAATTAGTAATAGAATATTAAAGAACTAATGTCATAAGACGTCATTTTGTCGAAAGCGGACAATTTATAAAACGAGCGACGAAGGAGCGAGTTTTGTAATGGACGAGTGCGACAAAAGGTCTTATGAGTTCTTTATGCTATTTTATCTATTTTGCAAAAATTCTATACAAAAAATTAATTTTACCTTAAATTTCATTTGGTCGAATTTTACACAGTCATTGGTTTGACAGTTAATGTCAAAATCGATTCGCCATGCCGTCCTTAATTTACTTATTTACAATAAGCGGCTGTTAATGTTAAAGAAGAAAAAGAGGATTTGCTTTGGTGTTAAACAAAATTTATTGCCGGAAAAGTCTCGTAAGTACTAGAAAAATCATAAAAATATTATAACCAATATGCAAAATATTATCCTGTTTAAAGTATTAGCCAACCTATAAAATCAAAATTTTGGGTGGGATAAAGTATCTCATTACAGCACCGAAAGCGGTGTTATAATGAAGTCATTATGAACGCAAAATAGATAAAGATCCATTTAAATGACTCTTTACAAATTTAAACAGAAAATTTTGTAGAATAAAATATTTGAACTAAAATCAATATTTTTAAGCTTAAAGTTTTACAGATTAGATATACAGGGTGTTAATAAATTGGGAAAACATAAAATGCTTCATTAAGGAGAGAAGTA